CCTGGGTGCAGCCTGGCTCCAACACTTCTCCGTACGGGCCGATTCCGTCAAAAACACACACAGCTCAAATGATTGTGAACCAAAGCATTTCACGATTTCCTTTTGCTTCTTTCCCTCCAAGGTTGTCAGACAACCCTTTTTCTCCTGTACAATAGGACTGAACATACAAATTTTTTTTTGCAATATTTTATCCTGCCAAATTAAAAAAATATATTATGGCAGCCTGTTTTTGTTTTTTTTCTTTTTATTTCCAAATTCACTAACAAAAAGGTACATTAAATCCCTTTAAAAGGACAAGCTTACAGTTAAAAAATTACAAGCTCCAGTAAAAATACAGCAAGTGCCTACATCATATGAACCGACCAATATATCCATTCCAGAGGGAGGTGGGAAGAGAAAAATAAGTACAGGTCAGGAATGATTTTTTTTTTCTGCAAAGCAATAACAATATTAAGCACTTTTTTTCTACATACTTTTTCTACATGGTGTAGCAATCCCCTTTTAATCCCCAAATACAGTTTCTATACATTTTTTTGAAATAAAAATTCAACACCCAAGGCAGAAAAAAATTTACTAAAACTCCGACTTTACAGTTACTGTGACAAGAACAAATTTATAGACCCACCATTTAAATTTTACTGCAACATTTTCAAGGAAAAAAAAAAGGTGTTTTTTTTTTCTCATTTTGTAAAATGCCCAGGCATTCTCGATTATTACAAATACTGGTCCACTTTTACAGTAATCAAGAAATTTTAATATATATAATATATACTAAAACCCCATCACCAAAAGAAACAATATACACACAGCCACTGTGGCATCTTTTATAACCTATTAAGCAAAACTTTGCGGGGGGAAAAAATGATCTCTCCAACACACATACACACAATTTTTGTTACCCTTGTATGTATCCAATACTGTAAACGTATTTTTAAGACAGAGTGCACTAAATTTACCTTTAGAAAAAAAATTAGCCATTGTTCCTGAATTGTTTTTTTGTTTTGTTTTTCATTCAACGAGATCAACTTGTCACTTGTGTCACTTGAGTTTTAATTCAGCAGTAAATCACTTCCACTCCACATCTAAGCAGCGTTGTCCCACAAACAAAAGGGGCTGAGGACCATCAGCTAACAATTGTATGTCCAAGGTTGTGCTGGGTTTATTTCTCCACTCGATTGGGTCTGATGGCATTTCTCATGTCCTCTATCTTCAACCGGGATTTTTTTAAAAATCGTATTGAAAGTAAATGTGGCTTTGTTTGTGTCTAAAGAACGTACTTTTCTCGTTTTACGTTTTTTTTAAAAAGTCTTTTCGTTTCCAAAAAAAAAAAAAAAGTTTTGCATTTGTCTCAAGAGACTGAAATAGGAAGATCAGTTTTCAAGGCACTCACATCAAATCGAATGGCAGTAGAGAGACTGTCCAATAAGTTATTATTTTATGTCGTTCTTTATAGTGCCAGTATTGTGAATGCCACGCTTAGCAACACTGACACTCAACCTCAGCCGTCCCTTATTTAACCCACCTCTGGGCCAAAGAGAAGAATATGCTGCAATTTCTTGTTTAGAAGCCATTTCATTTAAATGCAAACAAAAGCTTTAAAGTGCGGGTCAACAGAACTCAAACATCTAACCTCCTGGGTTTAGTACCTTCCAACCGAACGGTAATGATAAAAGGGGAAGCAGCGCCGGCCGGGCACCTTGGGATGATGGGCCTTCCCCTGCTTCCCCAGGAAAGGGAACAGAAATTCGCAAGGTCCCACCCTCCCCCACCCCGGGCCTTAGAATGTCACGTGTGCATGAAATGAGAACGCCGACTTCCCGCCAGTCACCATCAGGGCACTTGTATGCTTGAGAAATGACCAATCATCACCATCATGGGCAGCAACGTCAACGTAGGATTTGGGATTTTCGTGGTGGGGGAGATAACGAGAGGGAGAGAGAGAGAGAGAGAGAGAGAGAGAGAGAGAGAAGCTGGCAAGCCAGAAGAAGCCCAGAAGAACCTGGCTGGTTTCTTCCTTTCTGTGTCACTGCAGGCCACCACCATGGACCCCAAAAAAGGTACCCTCAGCCGACGCTATGGCAAATGGCTAAGACGGCATCCCAGGGTACGCCTCCATTTCAAGGAGGGGGTAGTGTCTGCTGGTAATGCACAATTTCAGAATCCTCTGGGGCCATTCCCCGGGTAGCCCTCAAAAACTCCTGTGTCTCTGGCAGTGTGCAGAGTTTTGGGGGCCTCTCCCCCACCACTCCAAGTTCACCCCCGTTATTCATGGAAAGGCTGAAATCAACGCAGAAAAGGCCCCTGTTTTCTCAGGACATCATCAGTGCTACAGCTCCACTCCAACTCTGAAACAAAGTGCTACAACTTTAAGATTGTTATCCGCTGTACATCCACTCCCCACCCCACCCCCTCCCCCCCCCAAAAAAAATGCATGCCACTTTTTATTTCAGGACCAAAAAAAAAAAGGAGTAAAAAAAGTAAACAACTTTAAAAGTCATTTAAGTGTTGGCTTCTTCACAAGAAATTACACATGCTTAGCTTAAATTTCAAAAAAGCAGCGCCCTCCCTCCCAAATTATAATTTAAAAGCTATGCTTCCCCTCTACATTGCTTGCGAGTCGTTGCTCAGGCTTCTACTGGTTTTTTTAAAAAAAAAAAAATGAAGAAGGGATGGATACCCAACAAACTCTTTCAAAGGAATTTAAACAGAAAGAATAATAATAAAAAGTACCTGCACATGCCAAAAAAAAATTACAAAACCCAATAAATACAGAAATTATTGCACAGTTAAAAGGCTCCACAATTTTGACTCGGGTTTCCATAGGGCTTCGCAGACACAGGTTAGGTTGGAGAGCCGCCTCCCCCTTCGGCCCCAGGGACACACGGGGGTGCTCGGTGGCGGTGACACGGAGGCAAGTGTCAGGTCAGCATTCTGTCGCTTGGCAACGGTTCCACTGTACAGGGGCGGGGCCCGGCCCGCGCACGCGCGCTTAGCTCCTCTCGGCCTGCTCGATTTTGACGTCGTTAGTCAGCAAGTGCTCGCCGTGCCACTTTTTCATGTGTTTCTCCAGGGTGCTGTAGACGCTGAAGGGCATCTGGCAGATGTCGCAGCGGTACACCTCCTTGCCGATCTGCCCGTGCGTCTTCATGTGGCGCGTGAGCTTGCTGCTCTGCGCGCACGCGTAGTTGCACAGCTCGCACTTGTAAGGCCGCTCGCCGGTGTGGCTCCGCCGGTGCACCGTCAGGTTGCTGCAGTTCTTGAACACCTTGCCGCAGTACTCACACGTGTCGCTGCGCCGGCCCTCCTTGGAGCTCGGCCGCCCGGGCCCGGGGC